GTGCTCCGGTTTCCTCCCACAGACGAAAAACATGCATGTTAGGCTGATTGGTAACTCTAAATTGTCCCTAGGTGTGAGTGTGAGAGTGAATGTTTGTTTGTCTCGTTTGTCTCTATGTGGCCCTGTGATGGACTTGCGACCCGTCCAGGGTGTACCCCGCCCCTCGCACAGTAATTGCTGGACATGGGCACCAGCGACCCCCGTGACCCAAAATGGAACAAACGGGTAAAGAAAATGGATGGATGGATGGATAAATAGAATCCACCTGTGTGTAATCAAGTCTCCGTATAAATGCACCTGCTCTGTGATAGTCTCAGGGTTCTGTTCAAAGCACAGAGAGCATCATGAATGGTGTACCACAAGGCTCAGTCTTAGGACCCACCCTCTTTACAATCTACATACATAATGTAGGTAAAAACATCCCTAATGCATCCATACATTTCTATGCTGATGACACAGTTGTTTATTGTCGAGCTAAAACTGTTGCTAAGGCTTTCCAGCTTTTGAAATCTGCATTCAACATCATCCAGACTGATTTGTTTCGCCTCATACTTGTCCTAAATGCCGACAAAACCAAAGGGATGCTTTTTTCAAATAGGAAGTTGGTCCCAGCAGTTCTTCCTCCGATTTTATCCTTAAATTATGTCCCCGTTGAGTTTGTTGATTCCTATAAATATTTGGGTATCTTGGTCGACTCACATCTCTCTTTTAAGCTCCATGTGGAAAACTTGGTAAAGAAACTGAAAGTTAAACTGGGTTTCTTTTTCAGAAACAGATCCTGTCTAACCCTGAATGCTAGAAAACGCCTTGTATCTGTGACTTTCCTTCCCTCCATTGATTACGGTGACATTATTTACATGAACGCTCCTACAAGAACCCTGCAGATGTTGGATGCTGTCTATCATGGTGCACTAAGATTCATAACTGGCTGTGATTATCGTACCCACCACTGCACCCTGTATTCACTGGTTAACTGGTCATCATTAACTTCACGCAGACTCTCTCACTGGTACATTTTCATCTTTAAATCGCTTCTTGGTCTGCTGCCTTCATACATCTCCTCCTACATGTCTCTGCGTGAGTGCAGCTCTCAGGACATTATTACCTGCAGTGTTCCCTCAATGAGGACTGAACTAGGCAAAAGGACCTTCTCCTACTCCGCTCCCGTTTCCTGGAATATCTTACAAAAAGATATGAAGCTCTCGACCTTGACCTCTCTAAGTGGCTTTAAGAATCTGTTGGACTTCTGGCAAAGACCACTGCAGACATGTTCCTGTTTTTAGTTTTCTACATTCGCCTTAGAATCTAGCTGTTTTTTTTTGTTGTTGTTGTTGTTACCTTTTCCTTTTAGCCATCCTATTTGTAAACCCCCCCCCCCCCCCCCAAAAAAAAAAAAACCTGCAGTATGATTTTTTATAATTGTTTATTGTTGTTGCTGTTGTCCATTGTTGTCATCTTTCTTTGTTGAAATCAGGTCTCTCTTGTAAATGAGTCCTCGAGGCTCAATGGGATTTACCTGTCTAAATAAAGGTTGAATGAAAAAAATGAAGACCAAGGAACACACCAGGCATGTCCAAGATACGGTTGTGGAGAAGTTTAAAGCCGGATTTGGATACAAAAAGATTTCCCAAGCTTTAAACATCCTAAGGAGCACTGTGCAAGCAATCATTGAAATGGAAGGAGTATCAGACCACTGCAAATCTACCAAGACCCGGCCGTCCCTCTAAACTTTCATCTTGAACAAGGAGAAGACTGATCAGAGATGCAGCCAAGAGGCCCATGATCACTCTGGATGAACTGCAGAGATCTACAGCTGAGGTGGGAGAGTCTGTCCATAGGACAACAATCAGTCGTACACTGCACAAATCTGGCCTTTATGGAAGAGTGGCAAGAAGAAAGTCATTTCTCAAAGATATCCATAAAAAGTGTTGTTTAAAGTTTGCCATAAGCACCTGGGAGACACCAAACATGTGGAAGAAGGTGCTCTGGTCACATGAAACCAAAATCAAACTGTTTGGCCACAATGCAAAATGATATGTTTGACGTAAAAGCAACACAGCTCATCACCCTGAACACACCATCCCCACTGTCAAACATGGTGGTGGCAGCATCATGGTTTGGGCCTGTTTTTCGTCCGCAGGGACAGGGAAGATGATCAGAATTGATGGGAAGATGGATGGGGCCAAATACAGGACCATTCTGGAAGAAAACCTGTTTGAGTCTGCAAGAGACCTGAGACTGGGACGGAGATTTATCTTCCAACAGGACAATGATCCAAAACATAAAGACAAATCTACAATGGAATGGTTCACTAATAAACATATCCAGGTGTTGGAATGGCCAAGTCAAAGTCCAGACCTGAATCAAATCGAGAATCTGTGGAAAGAGCTGAAGACTGCTGTTCACAAACGCTCTCCATCCAACCTCACTGAGCTCGAGCTGTTTTGCAAGAAAGAATGGAGAAGAATTTCAGTCTCTCCATGTGTAAAACTGATAGAGACATACCCCAAGAGACTTGCAGCTGGAACTGCAGCAAAAGGCGGCGCTACAAAGTATTAACGCAAGGAGGCCGAATAATATTGCACGCCCCACTTTTCAGTTTTTTATTTGTTAAAAAAGTTTGACACATCCAATAAATTTAATTCTACTTCATGATTGTGTCCCACTTGTTGTTGATTCTTCACAAAAAATTAAAAATTTATATCTTTATGTTTGAAGCCTGAAATGTGGCAAAAGGTTGAAAAGTTCAAGGGGGCCGAATACTTTCGCAAGGCACTGTAGTTAGGGTTGGATTGTTATGCTGCCTTAAGCTACTACTGGAGAACAAATTGACCTCATTTCCTTAAATGAATTGTTAAAATTTAATAGTTTTCATTTGATACTATTTCTATCTTAACATGTGATTCTCGACCTGCCATTGTGTATCTGTTCCTCTTTCCTGTTCCTCTCAAACCCAGCCGGTCGAAGCAGATGGCCGCTTGTCCTGAGCCTGGTTCTGTTAAAGGTTTCTTCATCACGAGGGAGTTTTTCCTTTCTACTGTTGCCTTCGTGCTTGCTCAAGATGAGAGTTCTTTGATAGAGTTAATTTCTAAACAGTCTGCTCCTCAGATAAATTGTGTTAAAATATTATTTTGTATATAAATGTTTTTGTTAACTTATTTTTACATATGGATGTTTCTGTTCAGTGACCTGAGATGACCTCTGTTGTGACTTGGCGCAATATAAATAAATTGAATTGAATTGAAATTGAATTGACTTGCAACTCAGATTGAAAGTCAACTACATGAAGAGCAGAGAATATTCATCTGTAGAAAATTATGTTTCCATCTAACAGCCTCTTTAACTTTTGTTTTACTCTGATTTTATTTCTAAACACCCCACAGATGCTCTATACAGCAAAGTTGAGGTTTTCGCCACTCAGTAAAAGATTGACTGATCTTTTTACAGTTACAAATCAGCAGGCATAAAATCAGCCACACTCTGCAGTAGTATCATGGCTATTTCTGGTTGGCGTTTAAATTTTGTTTTGGTCCTTTACACCTGCTTTTATATTAACTTTTATATATAAGCATATCTATAAATTATTATTATTATTATTTAATGTTGTGAGTGTGGCATGCAATGTTGCTGGGTGTCAGAATGACTGCAGAGCACTGTTTAGACCAAGTGTATTTCAACAAACCAGCAGTAGACATGATACTATAGACCACAAAGCATAGCAAAATACGGACTTTGAGCATGTGCATTAGTAACTGTAAAATGGTCAATAAGCAGAGCTGTGCAGAGGCTCATCTGTGTTGCATTCAGTAGCCTGGAAAAAAATCAGATTTTTGAGTGTTAACTGGCCGGTCACTGGTTTTGGCTATCCATCTGTCCATTAGCTTTTACCTGCTTCTTCCTTTTTGGGTTATGGCGGTCACTGGTGCCCTCAGCAGTCGCTGTGCAAGAGGCAGGGGACACCCTGGACCGGTCTCCAGTCCATCACAGGGCCACATAGAAACAAACGAGACAAACATCCTGATGCATGCTCAATAATCCAGGTAGAAAAATCTAAAAAAGTTAAGTCTGGTCCTCTGGACTTTCAAAAAACAAAACAAAACAAACAAAAAAATGTAGAAACGTTTCATCTTTCATCCGAAAGACTTCTTCAGTCTGAGGTGCTGTATTCAGCTCAGTCTTATAAATAGCACCTTTTCAGAGTGGCTGTCAGCATCAAACTGGTTGATCCACTCTGTTTATTTGTTTTGTTTTGTTTTTTGAATGTCCAGAGGACCAGACTTAACTTTTTTTAGAAACTAGACAAACAATTCGCACTCTCACTCATACCTAGGAACAATTTAAGATAAGATCAAATAAGCGCTTTATTGATGCCGCAGGAAATTGTTGTGCCAGAGTTTCAATACAAAGGAACATACACAAGGAATCACACTAGATATAACGATAAATAAATCAATAATATTTAGAGTTACCAATCAGACTAACATGCATGTTTTTGGTCTGTGGGAGGAAAACGGAGTACCTGGAGGAAACCCACACATGCACGGAGAGAACATGCAAACTCCACCCAGAAAGGTCCCCAGCCGAGATTTGAACTGTCAACCTGCTCGCTGAGAGGCAGCAGCTCAACCAACTGTGCCACACTGGTTTTGACTAATTAGGCTAAATATCAACGAGTACTGATCACGAGCAGGTTCTCCTGTGCATCTCCAATTATATAAAAAAAAAAAAATAAGTCATTGCTTCTACTCTTCAAACCATTTTAATTGTTTTATAATGAGCTCTGATTTAGTTACCAAAAATTTGCTCTTATTTAGAAAAAAATATAATCTACAAATAATTTTTCTATTTTTGAACTTTTTTGTAAACAAGACAAATGAACGCTATATTTTACACTTGGGTGTTCTTTGTGACAGAACCTTTTTAATTTAACAAATGCATAGCTTTGACATGTTATCTTTTTGTGACTCGTTTTCCTGTATTTCTGTTTTTTTTTTTTTTAGATGCACTCAGATGCTGAATAGCTACAATTCTTATCAACCACCAAAGAAAATGTGCAGAAGACCTTGGGTGGACTATTACAATGGCTGGCGATCAACAGAAACTTAGCTGCTTTGCACAAAGAAAATGTCCATGTTTATCTGCATTTCTGCTACTCACTGGGGAATTTTTAGTGATGCCTCAACTGACCACCTTGAATAACTCTGGGCCCACACTGAAAAAAGTTCTCCATTCTGATTTACAGTTCTGTCTGTCAAGGTTTCCCTGCCCCTGATCTCTCTGTTGTCATGCATTTGGACCAATGAGGCTCAGAGATCCTTTTATCACATGTCTGTGAGGTCTCCTCCTCACTCTATGGAGGCTGAGCCCAGCCGTCCGGCTAATGGGGAGCGCTCTGGAAGGCAAGTATCACAGCATGTAACGGCTGAATCTTCATTAGGAACCTGTCCACCTCAGCAACCCCAGCAGCCTCCCAATCCTCGTCCTGTACACAGAGCCCTGGGCCGCTTACAAAATCGGCAACCCAAACGTACTGACCTGCTTCGGTTACAGCAACAACAAGCAGCAGCATGGCAACACTCAGACACACCAGGTCCCTCAGGGGGCAGTTTTTTCTCTACAACTTCATCTGCAACCTCATCCCTCCCTTCTACTTCCTCCACCCAGGGTGACCATGGTCATGGAGTGCCATTGCACTCCAGTCAAGAGGGTCTAGAAGGTCTTAGCTCACCCAGAAAAGGGGAGAAAAAAACACAAAAACCAGGGAAATATGTGTGCTCTTATTGTGGCCGGCCATGCGCCAAACCAAGTGTTCTTGAGAAGCACATACGTTCTCATACAGGAGAAAGACCCTACCCTTGTGGTCCCTGTGACTTTTCTTTCAAGACCAAGAGCAATCTCTACAAGCACCGCAAGTCCCATGCCCATCGCATTAAAGTAGGTCTTGCAACCAGTCGTGATGAGCCAAGTTTGAGTGGACCTGAGGGTAGTAGTGTTGGAGAAGATCCTGAAGAGCACACAGAGGGAGAAAGCACTGAGTCTGAGGAAGAAACAGGCCAGCACAGAAAATCGTCCTCTAAAGAGATGCTCCGACAGCAGAAAAAAGGAAGTAAGGAGCGGCTGGGAGGCTCGGAGGAGAGCCAAAGACCTGAGGACTCCCAGGCTGTCAAACAAAGATTGGCACTGAGACTTAGTGAAAGGAAACGAGGCCCCTTGGTCTCTCCAGATGACCCTCCCTCCTCCCTTTCGACCTCGTCCTCCTCCCTTGGCCCTGGTAGTAAGGGCAGCACAGAGTCTGGTTACTTTTCTGGATCCGGCAGTACTGACCTGTCCCAAGTTAGTCCACCTAGTTCGAGTGCCAAAACCTATGCAGAAATTATTTTAGGAAAGTATGGAAGGCTGGGAGGGCAGCAGCGCAATCCCCACCAGCAACAACTTCATTCTTCACATTCCTCATCTTCAAGAATTGAGGAAAAGAGCATTCCTTTTGCGGTGCCCAAAACTCAAGTAATAGAACACATTACCAAGCTTATTACTATCAATGAAGCAGTTGTAGACACGAGTGAGATTGACAGTGTCAAGCCCAGACGTTCTTCTCTGTCCAGAAAGAGCAGTACAGAGTCACCCAAATTTATTGCACCTAGAGATCCTTATGCATTTGATCCAAAAATAGAAACTGTAGGAACCAGTGGTTTGAGACACTTCCAGAACCCTGAGGCAGATCCATTGGGAATGCAGGAGCTGTCAGCAGTGCCTCTTCATAGAAGTCACTCGTTACCATCATCTACTAGTCAAGAAGACCCCTTCACCTCAGTCGCCATGTCTCCAAGATGTTATGGCCTTAGTCAGTCATTTGATGAGCAACAAGCAGTGGTAGCAGAGATGAGAGGTGTCCAACGTACACTCAGACGCCAACCTGCCATAGAGGTTCCTCTTGGAGCAGAAGTAATGTTAGAGGAGGCCACTCCCACATCACTGTCTTTCTCATCAACAAGTACTGAATCAGCCAAGCAGTCACAACAGCAGCAAAAGAGTCCACATATACTTGAATGTTCAGTATGTGACTCCTGCTTTCATCGCAGTGAAGACTATGAAGTTCACAGAGGTATCTGTCCTGGAAGAGAACAAGAGGTCGGGCATGCAACTAAAGTAAGCAGGGATGACCGGCCTCTGTTGATGCACTCTAAGTTCCGAGCACTTGCCATGGCTGTAAGGAAGAGAAGGAAAGAGGAGAGCCTGGAGGAAGATCCTCCTAGCCCTGGAACTGTACCCATGCCATGCAGTTCTACAAGTCTCATTTCAGTTCAAAGCAGACCAGAGCAGAGCCAATCACTTTCAGGTATCTTTATGTATCATTGTTGAATTACATACAAGAAAATATTTTTATTAGCAAAAATGTTTGTATTTAAAATCCTGTTTTGAATTAAAATACCCGACCGAATAGCCAGATCAAAGACGTAAGGAATTTGTACATCTGTGAAATAGCATAGTACTATAAACAGTAGTTACATCCCCAATTTTTCCTACTTTGTTGCAATTTATGTGATGAGTTTATGTGCTTTTTTTTCTGTCTGTCTCAAGGTGCTACTTTACAGACTGAGCCAAACAAGAAACAGCAAGACAGGAAGGGTGTTTCTGTCATCCAACACACTAGCTCTTTTGAGAAACAGGAGAGTGTATCTATGGAAAGCAAGGAACTGGACCTCAGAAAGAATCAGCCAACACAACAGCCTGAGCCAAAACCATCCCCACCCACATCACGCCTCGTCCGTCAGCCAAACATCCAAGTGCCGGAGATCTTTGTTACTGAGGAACTTGATGCTGACATGCCCTCTTTGTCACCCCCAGTGAGAGCTTCCTCATCTAAGGTATGTATGTGTGTATATATATATATATATATATATATATATATATATACACACAT